CGATCTTGCTTGTTTTCGCCAATTGAAATCAATGTTGAATCGAGGTTTGTCGAGTTTTGGAATGTCTGAGAAGTGCCGTGTAATCTGATGACGGTAGGCGTTGATTTGCATCTGTCGGTGTGGTGTGAATTGGCCTTTAGGAATGCAGACTATATAAAATCTTACATATTAACAGCCCTAGTAATGTACTGCCAATTATGTTATGTAATAAAGGTTACAGCAATAAATTATTTTGATAGTTTTGACAATGAACCGTTACAATTGGGATGCGTCTTGAGGCTGAACTTGACCTTCAGCCCTCTTTATCCTTGTCCAAAAACCTTCTTTAAAGTTTTTGCCAGCAATGTAATCCTCCACAATCGATTGCATTGAGGCCACTTGAATGAATACATGAATCAACCGATTCACAAGTCACAAAAAAATCTTGCTAAACGTGTAGTTTCACATTGAAATGTCAATATTACAGAATTAAAATGGGTTGCAAATGCAGTTTCATTTTGACTTTGTTAGGGACACATTTGCAACAATTCGTAGTTGCAATGCCTTTTAAGTTATTTTTACTCAAAAACAACGCAAAAGATGTTTGAAAATAAGATTGATTTCAGTGTGGAAATTCAGTATGGTTCTGTAGTATAGTATGTACTGCCAACATTGCATTAAGCAGAGCAAATCATCTGCAACTTCCAACACAGAGCCTGTGACCTGGCAAGAACACGTTTGCAAGTTGTAAATTGATCTAGAAGCTTTTACTGTCACGACTATTTGCACACCTCAGCAGCATGGAAGAAAGAGACCCAGGTGGCACTACAGAAATGAAATGTGGAGTGCCGCACCTGATCAGTCTCAGGGAGCTGTCAGGAAGTCTTTCAGCGGCGGTTACGAAATGCCGTAAACTGCTGCACAATGGGAGTGCAGTGTTATTCCTCATTAAGCTGATGCATTCCTGTAAGATTTCAATTGAGGTCGTAATCATTTCAATACAAGTGCACCCTTTAGTGTGTGTCATTTTTATTGGCAAAACAGCATGACTGTGATATTTTCCCTTTGTATCCCAGCTTCCATTTTTAATATGAAGAACTTTGCACTTTTCTGTCCTAAACTTTATATGACAACAATAAAGATTGTGTGTTTTCCAGGCTTGTTTTACTGCCAGAAACATGTTCCCAGCAAGAATTCACTTTTTGAATCTGTATGGACGTCACATTATGTCTTTTGTTTATTATTGTTTGTTCATGTAATGCAGGGATTCCCAAATGTTTTTGTCAGCCTAACCCCTTAAAATAAAGTATGTACTTGAAATATCTCTGAGGAAGTTAATATTTCAAATAATTTAACAACACATTTGCATGTTTACAGTTCTCTGATGTCAGTTAATGGTCACTTTGACATACAGGTAAGCAAATAAACAGGTCTGATTTCATTTCTCTGATCAAATATAAAACCAGTGGGCAGCATATGGACAGTGCTTCAGTGCTTATTGAAATTCAGTGTGAGTTTTCAGAGGAAAGCCATGCGGTGGCCTGATGCGACTTGCTGCAATAGACAGATGATCGATAATTCATGGTGTCATTTTTTATTGAAGTACCTAAAATTTTGACCGGTTTGACATTACTAACATTTATATTTAAAGCTTAAGGCAAGATTTTTGGGCTGTTTGGCTTTTCATAATATGCTGTTTCAGACTAGTGGAATGAAGACATCCAAAATACACTTTTAAGTGTTTCTTTTATTGCACTTTATCTATTTGCGTCTGTAGGTTTCAATTCCAATCCATATCTTCAAAGAGTTTTTTTTTTCTGGCACACATCAGATTTTACAGTTTGATTCCTCTCTATATTCTGAAGGTTTGTTCATATTTCATTCACACTGATTTAAACGACATTTTACTCCTAAAAACATGGTGAAAATGTGTTTTCTGTCTGTTGGCAGTATTTTCTGATTTATGGAGTGATAAAAAGAGAAATCCAAACTCTAATATCTCAACAAAATCAAACTATTTTGAATCTGGCTTCATCCAATGTTCAGATTTCTGTTCTGGAAATGCATGCAAATTAGTGCATATTTAATTAGATAATGCCTCGTTTGCATATTTAAACATAACATTTCAGAAAACTTTGCAATCCTTTAATTGGGGAAGTATGGTGAAATCTAATAGTGATTTTTTTTTTACCCCATTCACTTTTGTTTTGCCTTTTGACATGAAAAAAAACTAATTTTAAAACGGTGTGAGACAAGCAATTCAGCATATTAGAATGATTTCTGAAGGATCATGTGACACTGAAGACTGGAGTAATGATGCTGAAAATTCAGCTTTGATCACAGGAATAAATTACATTTTAAATATATATTACAACAGAAAACAGTAATTTTAAGTTGTAATAATATTTCACAATATTACTGTTGTTACTGTATTTTTGATTAAATAAATGTTGCATTGGTGAACATAAGAGACTTCTTTCAAAAAACATAAAAAAAACATCTTTCCGACCCCAAACATTTGAACAGTAAAAAACCACAAAGCCTTAAAACTTATTTTACTGACCCAACTCTAAAAAATGACTAGATGTGCACTTCGGAAAGAGTCCAGTGCTGGATTGCAGCAGAGAGTCATCTGACACAAGCTGGGAATGGTTTAAGACTGTGAGTAATGCTTGCTCAGTGCTTCAGACCCGCTGACAAATACTTCCTCTCACTGCTGCAAATCTCCTAAGCCCTGACCTTTCCAAATTTGTTACAGAAGAATGATATGTGAGTCCCATTCAAACGCCCCCATATAAAGAGTCAATAAATTGCATCATGATGTTATTTGGGGGCCTAACGTAGGCATTTTAGTGGAGTTATGTTGTCAATTAGACACAGCAGATGACTCAGAACACCTGTTGTGCTTCCAGCTAGGTGAAATGTGACATTTTTGCACCACCAAATGGAATTATAAAAACAGGCTTTCAGAATCTGGACAAGCATTGATGCCTTCAAGCCCAATATAACCCAAACGCTGACCTGTAGGGGCAGAGGCCATATTGACACAGGGGTAGAGCATGTTGTAGCTCTAAACATGCTGTGGTGAACACTTGGTTGGGTTAGCAGACTCCATGGCCGGAGGCATGCATGTAAACAGGAACCTCGACACACACAGACTGAAGCTTTTACACATCTGGGTCAAAGAGAGAGAGAAAAAAAGAGAGACCTGTCCCGTTCAGTCGAAGGGATTGTAAGTAAAGTCTGTCCTCTGTGGCTTTTCCTCAACCCTTGCTATCACTCTTTGAGATAGCAGACCTCTCCAAACACACATCCTTGACAGCCACAAGGCACAAAATATCCATCCGAGGCTCATCTCACGACATGCTGTAGATGGAACTGTGAGGCTTAGAAGGTGATGGGAAGTGAAGGGTGAAAAGTTGTATAAGGGGTAAAGACCTTTCTGGGATTGGTCCTTTAATCTTCAATTCTTCAACAAGTCAGGGATTGTTTCTATCAAACAAAAATAGTTGAACTTTTGAGCTTTAGTAGTTGAGAACAATTTATAGCAGTAGCCAGGTGTTTCCTTGAAGGCTTTTTTTGTGCAGTGACACTTTTTTATGCACTTTTATGACACTTTTGTGAGTCACCAAGTTATATCTTAGTGCAGGTCAAGGATTACTTCACATTTTACATCTTTATTTTTCCTTGCTCTCAAACTGAGAGTAGACTGTGTTAACTGAGTGCCATTCATTTAACAGTCAAGAGTTTTCTTTTTTCCTTACCCTGTGGTTTTCTTCTTAGTCAACCTCTAGTATTGCTTGGGAAAAAATGGTAATAGAGCTTTGTGAATAATTTTTCTGTAATAAAAATAATACATGTTTCTTGAGCAGCAAATCAGCATGTTAGAATGATTTCTGAAGATCATGTGACACTGAAGACTGGAGTAATGATGCTGAAAATTCAGCTTTGATCACAGGAATAAATTACATTTTACGATGTATTCACTTAGAAGACAGTTATTTTAAATTGTAATAATATTTCACATTGTCATTGTTTATATTGTATATTTTATCAAATAAATGCAGCCTTAGTAAGGGGAAGAGACTTATTTCTAAAGCACTAAAAAAACCTTACCGACCCCAACTGTTGAATGGTAGTGGATCTATAAATACTGATACATTTCATTTTTCAGTCAAGCTCACATACTTGTTTCTCTGGCTACAGCCAGTTTGAAATGTGCGTTCAGTGTCAGAATGTCTGTTTTTGTTTTGGTCTATGTGACTCCGCCCACTGCCAGTTTACCCAATAGTATTTCGACACCCCGGGTTGCCAGTTGGCGGAAAACACAGCGCATTACAGCCATGGAAGCCAGCAAACAAACTGGGTCAGAGATCACAGATTCTACCCGACCTAGAAAAAGCCTCAGCATCCATCTAAAAAGCTCTGTGACCAGAGGAATATTAAAAAATGGATAAAACAACTCATCAACTGCCAGTTTTAGGCTCGTCTCCTGCCATTGTCCGTTACACTCATTCCTGTTGCATGTCCTCAATCTGGCAACCTACGTGAGTGTTGAATCTGAAGAGGAGGGGCGAGAGAAACAACTCTCTCCAATATTTTGAATTTGGACTACAGTACCCATTTCAACTGCTAGCTGTCAACATTACATACTTCACCTTTAATGTCAGCAGTGTCATTTAACCAGCAACCTTGAGCTGATTAGAACAGCAGATCAGAAAGTTCTAACAGCTTGACAGAATGTGAGTCTTCCAGATGCTTGATAGGTTGACATTTTGTCAGTCAGGGCCACTGGCAGGTCATCATCCTTCAGGTTTTTCAAGGTTGTTGTCATTCACATGCATACTGAAAATGCATTTTCCAAGAAAATATATACCTGTGGTTGCATATTAATATTTTAGCAACATTTATATGCAATTAACTACATTTCTGTACAATTATTTCATCTTAATAATTTTTTATGTACTATATGGCTGGACAAATGAATATTCAGCATGCTGTTTCTTTACCTTTCCTTCCAGGTACTATGCCATCTGTTGCCAGCCGCTGGTCTACGGGAATAAGATGACACCGCTGAGAGTGGCTCTAATGATCGGAGGATGCTGGATAATCCCAACCGTTATTTCCTTCCTACCCATAATGCAAGGCTGGAATAGTATTGGAATAAATGATTTGGTGAGTCACATCCATCAGATGGTCGACTGTTTGTGCTGATAAGGCATGTGAAAGCAGTCTGACTTTGATTCATCTAATAATGATGTTTCTTTGATTCTCTCTCACTTTAGAGATTATTAAAAGTGCAGGGAGTGAGGGAAACTTGTGATGCATGTAAAGTCTTTTCAGTCATTTCACCATCTTCTCCTCTTTCTATACATTTTACAAAAGGCAATTATGCATCCATGCGTAGAAGCCAAGCCATTGTCTATATTTCTAGGAAAGCAATTGCAGTATGTAGAGGCTCTCATAAAGACCAGCTTTGAGGAGAATATGAAATGCCACAGTCTCAGGTAGGGAACTTAATCCAATACTTACCAGTAAACAGACAAAAATGGCCCCGGGTGAAGACTGATGTGACACCATTTCTGTTTTACTCCGCTGTCTCTGGTAGCTGACCAGATGTACTGTTTCTAATACAGGCTCCCCCAAATGGGGTTTTGTGAGTTGATGAAAAGCTAATAATTAAATTGAGTGCAAAGTTAAAATAAATAAATGCGGCTACACAATTAATTGAAATTAAACTGAAATCGTGATATAGCTTAGTGCAATTTTCAGCATCTCAATACGGCCTGGTTCACAGTAAACGCTGCTTCTCACAAAATATTTAACACGCGTTTTGGGAACACAATGTCTGCTAGGTTCACTTTATTTGAACGTTTTACAGCATTTCACCATTATTCCACTAACTCGGAAATTTGAAAGTTGCGTATTATAAGACATAAATAATAGTATTGTAACTTGCAGTGTAAAATAATGTCATTATTAGGCCTATCGTTATTAAATACAATTTTTTTATTTTACAAGGCAATTGTGATTTACAACAATATATTTATATCTTCATTTAAAAAATTTTAATTAAAACATAATAGTAATAATATGCCCTATGTTATATAATTTTAAAATATAAACATCAAAATAAAACAATTAATTAATTTTTTTTTATATCTTTTTAATTGGAATCTCAGGCTGTACTTCAAGTAAATATTTTACATCTAAGGGGTTCAATTTGCAAAAAAGCTTGGGAACCCCTGAGCTGATTTATCTAAGAAATAATTGAGACTTGAAGTGGTTTTCTCTGCCCAAGTTTGTAACTTCCTTCAAACTTAAATAATATAAAGGAATTAATTAGCATTCTATTTAAAGTGAATAGTTGGCAAGAAGAATTAGCATTCTATTCAAAGTAAATAGTTGGCATTCTGCCATCTGGAGTCTTTTGCATTGGTTCACAGGCATTACATTAATGACTACCTATACTTCACATTTTCACAGATGTGAATGAGTCAAGTTTCCCGTTCCGCCAAAAGCTCTTCTCAAAGGAACTAATTAGCAGTTTGATACTGAATATCAATGATACCGTGGGCCAAAGTCCAGCTTATTTAAAAAAAAAATCCTTATACTGTTGTGAAATATGTTTGCAGTTCATGAGTTTTTTTATTATTGATAGTGTTGCTGTTGGGTTTCGAGCTTGGAGGGCTCAGCGTTATGATTTGAGAGTGTTGGGAGGAGCAGACAGGAGAGAGATGCAGATGAACAGTGATTAATAGCTCTCATCATGATACTTCCCTCTGTGGATCAAATCAGTACTAGCCTGTTTGTAAACAGTATATATCTGTGTGTGTTTAATTTATGATTCTCACTTCTCTAGATCAGATTTTTTTTTAAAACATCAGAGGTAATTTCTCTCATCAAGCTCTCTTCACTTACAGTGACTAGTTATTAATTGTGGGGTTAACCACTATTTTTCTAATGTATGTCACTAATTATACATTAATGAAATGCAATAACATTTGTAACTGGATCATGGTTTCATAGGATAACAGTCTGAAATGATTCTCTGTGGTTTTTAATTGGCTCATCCAGCTAAAAATGACAAAATATGTGAAGTATGCTATGCTCTTTATATATAGATGTTTATATTTAAGATGTTCAAGTTTGGGGTCAGTAGAATTGTTGTGTTTCTCTCATGCTCACCAAGGCTGCATTTATTTGATGAAAAATACAGTAAAAAAGATAATACCGTGAAATATTACTATTTTCTATTGTAATATATTTTAAAACATAGTTTATTCCTGTGGTGCAAAGCTGAATTTTCAGCATCGTTACTCCAGTCTCCAGTGTCACATGATCTTCAGAAATCATTCTAATATGCAGATTTGCTGCTCAATAAACATTTCTGATTATTATCAATGTTGAAAACAGTTGTGCTGCTAAATATTTTAGTGGAAACTATGATGCTTTTTTCTTCTTTGATGAATATAAAGATCGAAATAGCAGCATTTATTTGAAATAATATTTTGTGACATTGCATACATGTATTTTCTGCCACTTTTGGCATCAATTTAATGCATGCTTGCTGAATAAAAAATCATACTGACCCCAAACGTTTGCTGAATCAAAGCTGCTGCTTTTATACAGCACTGTCTTTATGGTCTGTACTGTACAGTATGGATTACCTGAAGAGCTGTATGATGGAGAAAGACAGACTGCAAATGAGTCAAGACACTTAATGTCTTTAATGTCTTTACTGCCACATTTTCCTCTGTCTCTGTAATTTTCCTCAGACAAACCGTCAGCGTCGAAGAGAGAGTGACGTCACTGTCTGTTCACACTAGGGCTTGAACGACTTCTGATTTTTTGAAGTCGACTTTTATGTGATGAAAGTCGAGTCGAAGTCGACTAGTCGCTGATGACGTCATTAATAAACAAATAAGTCTGGAGCTGTGATAAACACCTTGTGCAAAGCTATGGCATATGACACAGCGCTGCCCACATGGCTGTTGCTCCTATAACAGCTTTTTTATCAGTTCTTTTGTCTTTGGGTCGTTATATTTCTCACAGATTTCTGCTCATTCTAAATTAGATACAGATAAAGTAGCACAGTAAAGATTACATTCATATGAATGCATTAGTGAGAGCGATTGCGTGTGTGAATTAATTCTACCTGGCAGCATCTCTCTACTAGTAGTAAAGCTGTGGAATTTAGTTATTAAGAAATATATGCTAGAACTATTCAGTTTCTAAGCTATTTTATTGAGAAATCACAGAACAGTGTTGACAATACATTTCCGTGCTGAATGATTCTGTGTGCGTGATGTACGCGCTACTGTCTGTAGCCTATGTGTGTGCGTTACAGTGCAGCAGCGCATTAGATTAGAACAGCGATTAACTTACCTGTACAATAAGCTGTTTAAAACGTGCATTCTCCCGTTCAATTTCGAGCATCCAGTAATATAATCACACATGTCTTGTGGAGCGCTTTCAGAGTATGCATTTATTTGTCATTTGAACTGTTTGGAAACGGAGCGTAAATGTGGAAGTCCTTCAAAAATGTATTATCCTGTTGCGCCCTCTATATGATCAGCGAATAGTCGACGTCAAGCTAAAAGCGTCATGGCAGAGCATTGAAGTCGACTAGTCGACTACTCGATTAGTCGGTGCAACCCCTAGTTCACACTATATGGATTTAATGAGTTGAATGTGCATGTCACTGCCAAAGGTCAAAGGTCATCACTCATGATGGTTTGAATGTGTCATCAAATCCTGAATGACTTTTCAAAATCGTTCCACACTAGAGGACGTCATGCATCGAAGGTTGAATTTACACCGGGACGAATATCGCGCTCGATTATCGCCAACGTTTAACGCCTCGTGACTAAACAAAGGGCTTTTTTTAATGGTTTAACGCGCCGCGTTAAAAACTGGCTGACCAATGAGATTGGCACTTTTGTTCACGTGCCTGGAGCTGCTGAAGTTACAGTAAAACACGACATGGTTGCGCTCAAGCACAAAACGGTCTTGCCGAGCACACATTGATACCTAATGACGAAGAGGAAGTAAGTAGACCAAGAAGATGCATCGAGGCAAGATGAATGTAGAGCTGCTGGTCTCATTGGTGTCTGAACACAAAGGGCTTTATGACAAACGCGACAGCGACTACAAAAATCTCGATAAGAGGGAGTTGTTATGGAGAGGAATTACAGATCAAATAGGATTCGATGTCTACCGGGGTATTTCTGTTTTTCATTAAGCGCCATCTAATGTCAGGAAGTGAATTTGCACGTTCACTCGGCTCATCTCCTGCGAAAATCGCTTGGGTATGAACACAAAAGACGCGTCGAAAAACGTCGGCGATAAGCGCGTGCGATAATCGTCCCGGTGTGAACTTTAATGAGTTAGTTGACATGTAGTTACTTATAGCAAAGTTACTTATAGTTAGTATAGAATGTTTAAAGTGGACTATCAGAATAAAGTTTAACTTAAAATACAGATTGTTTCAAAGCAGCTTCAATAAACTGGAAAAAATGCAAACTTCTTCAAATACGTGACAAATTTTACTTAAGACAATGTCATGATTCATTTCAAGTTAATATCTTCTTCACATGAACTGTTCACTGTTCATTTTGGTGATTTGGAGAACCAAAAATGGTGTTTCTACATTCTTAAAAATAAAGTTTATTTATTGGCATCTATGGTTCTAGGGCTGCCCCCAATAGTCAACTAAACATTGGTTGACGAGAACATTTTACTAGTCAGTTAGTCGGCAGATTGTTAACGGCTGGTCCTTGAGGTAATTACAGTATATCAGGCATGAAATCCAAACGTTCACCCAAATATGTCTCGACTTCAAATATGGATCATTTGTAATTGAAACATGTAAGTAGTAGCAACTTTACATGGCCGCTCGCTGTGATGTTAACCTAGAAAAGTGTTTATGTGGAGTGTGGAAGCTATTAGAGCGCTACTTCATGGCATGGCGGCGCCAACACGATCACTGCACATTTTTTCCTGATAAGAGTGGAAACAAAAAAACTTAATTTTTGCTCATACAGATAAGTGTAAGACATCATTCAAACCTGTACTTTTATTTGTGTACACTCACAATATGGACAAAAAACAAATAGGAGGCTCTTTCTGCTGTCTCTGTCTCTGTGAAATGAAGTGCGTCACAACAATTAACCGAAACTCAGCATATCGGCTGCTTGCCTCACAGTTTTGAGAAATCTATCTATAGAAAGCTTGACATTTCTGCTTTTAAACAAACCAATTAAAATAAAAAACAAATACACTTTGGTTATGTAATCCATATGAAAGGTGCATTTCTCTCTGAAGGCATCTCACTGTACTTGCGGAGATGATGAGTCGGCATCGTTAACTTCATCTCTGTAGCCGACACTGACTCAGAAAACACTAGTTTATTAATAAATCATTTAAATATCTCCTTGCTATTTTCATAGTCATTACTTTTGCCAGTGTTTTGCAGCAAGCTTTATGCGTGCACTTGAGTGTGGAATAGGCTACATATTAAAAGCCCCCAGTATATATTTAAGTAAATAAATTAATATAAACATGCGATTAGTCGACTAATGGCTTAAATGGACGACTATTAGTCGACTAGAAAAATCTTCAGTCGAGGCAGCCCTATGTGGATCCATTAAGAACCTTTAACATCCTTGGAATATTTCCATTACGCAAAGGGTTCTTTATAGTAGATAAAGGTTCTTAAGATTTTAAAACCTTTTAAAGAAACAAGAAAAAAAAAGGTTATTTTTAAGTACCGATCAAAAAAACTAAAATGGTTCTTCTACTGCATTGCTGTGAAAAGCATCTTTTGGAATCTTTATTTTTAAGAGTGTACATTCTTTAGTGTGTGTGTAATCTGAATGTGTCAACATCCCTCTCTTGACAGATAGAGAACCGGAAGTTCTCTGGCAACTCCACGGTGTGTGTGTTTATGGTGAACAAGCCATATGCGCTGACCTGCTCAGTCGTGGCCTTCTACTTACCGCTGATCCTGATGGTGCTGGCGTACCAGCGCATCTATGTCACGGCGCGGGCACACGCTCGACAGATCAGCATGCTGCAGCGGGCCGGAGAAGCAGGGAACGCGGACAGCGCGGACCACCAACGCAACCACCGTATGCGCATCGAGACCAAGGCGGCCAAGACTCTGTGCATCATTATGGGCTGCTTCTGCCTGTGCTGGGCCCCTTTCTTTATCACGAATGTGGTGGACCCCTTCATAGACTACAGTGTTCCTGAGCAGCTGTGGGCGGCCTGCCTCTGGCTGGGCTACATCAACTCCATGCTCAACCCCATCCTTTACGCCTTCCTCAACAAGTCCTTTCGCCGTGCCTTCCTCATCATCCTCTGCTGCGGACACAAGCGCTACCGCCGACCTTCCATCCTGGGCCCTGGAGCGACCTGCACGGCCACGCAGATCAACGGCTCGACACACGTCCTGAAGTAAGTGAGAGAAGCATTACATTTACCACCTTCTCTCTTTTCTAGTGTGGTTAAGATGAAAATACGCTTGAAACGAGGATAGATTATGGCAAGGAACAGTAACGTTACCATCCAGTGTTAATCTCATCATCAAAATCAACCCAGACTCATTGAAAATATGTGCTTGTGGCAACGTTTCTGCAACACGATATTACGTAACTTATTGCGTGTTTTGCAGAAGTTTCAAAGTGAAATGTCCAGTGAGTGGCGCTAAAACACACATTTAATACGTGACCATGGCTATGGTTTTATTACGTTTGTAGGGGCACGTATTGCGGTGTTTTTATTGCTTTGCTTCAGGCACGTATTGTGGCGGTTCATAATTCAAAAAATGTCCAGGGAGTGTCGCTAAAAGTTACTGCTCGCTTGTGTTGGAAAATAACATACCCCCTTAATCAAACCCAACCCTATACCTACCCGATAGCGCTAACAAAAGCAAAAGTGATATAAAAACGCAATCGTTGATGCAACTGGGCTTACTTATAAGCAGGTTTGAGCTGTTTTGTCAAACCTTAGTTTCACAGGATTCGTACTGGAGCACTTCCCCTAACAAATGCAACACCGTGAGCTACGGAGCAAACCTACCGTGTTAGAAAACCCATACATGTGAAGCTTTATATGTGATGCTAATGAAGAAGTGTTAGTTTTTAAATCTCACAGCATGTTAACATTATTTTTAAGTCATAGCATAATATTGTGCAAGGAATTGTGTGGAAATTAGGATTTCTTAAACAAAACTGGCCCTGTAAATCATAATTTGTGTTGTTTTACTGCCTCTAGTGTACATTTCAACAGGAAAACTGCTGCGATTTGTACATATTGGTATGTTTTTTGAGTTTTGCAGAAATCCAATGGGCCTGGGTAGAACAAAATACACATGAAAATGTTCGTTAAAGTTTTTGTTTTTATTTTGACTACAAAAAAACTTTGTTGTCCATAAATTCAGAGTAAAATCAACTAAATGAATATAACAATTTTGTTTTAAATGTATCAGTTTTGTAAATGCATGTTATAGATCTTACAGTGAATGATTCATCCATGTAGGCCTATATTTCATCTTTTTTTTGACCATGTAATGTTCAATCAAAATGTATTAACTCAATCAATTGGAATTTTCTAATCATTTAGTCCACTTAAATCCCGCCCACAATCCACTGCAAGATTGCAATCATTTCTTAGGTTAAAGCTGCAGTCCGTAAATCCCAAATCAATATTTGAGCAAGTACATAACCAGCCAGTGTTCAAAACTATCGCCTTACTTTAGCCCGATTCACAACGGTCAGCTTATAATAATGTTTTCTAACTTGAATGGTACGGGTTGGTTTTCGCGGGAAATTTGAGCATGCTGCTGCGTCATTACGTCACTTCTGTAAACATAAAGAAGCTTTCCCGGCTAGTAGGCTATCGCATGTGAGGATCCTGCAGGTGGCTGATCGTTTATAGCCTTTTCTCACAGCAGCTAGAAAAATTAAATGTATCATTTTGATGGCGGATTTTAATCCAGAAAGGATTATGTGTTTATGAAACACATGTGAATGAAATTAAATTATATTCCAGTTTTAAATGTGCTTCTGATTACAGATAGCCTCGGTGCTTATTTAAGTCATATATTGCAAGACGTAGGCTAGAATCTGTGAGTGCAAAGTACAATATCCACACCGGTGCGGTGACTGACTGCCACACATACTCCTAAAAACATTAGATTCGTCTGTGCTGGAGCCGTGCCGGTGCACAACCCACGCAAGGAAGATAATTCCGCACACAGCTGCAATTGCAGGTTTTCAAACAGAGATGGCGACAAAGAGGCAAAACTTACGGACTGCAGCTTTAATGCCCACATTTCAAAATCAAAGAAAAAGTTTTTGTCCTACATTTTTATTTTGCGATTATCCATTACACTTGGATGTATGTCACAATAATAAAGAAAAGACCTGCCACTACTTCTGTTTCAACACAAATTTAATGGATATTTTCTAGGGATGCACCGATATGAAAATGTTGGCCGATACCGATAACCGATTATTCTTTATTTTTGAAAGCCGATAACCGATATG